ATATATATATATATATATATATATATGTAGCTATACATGCATATGCATATATCTAGATAAAGTGTTATTTTTGACGACAGACAGACGAATCTTGCAGACCTTGCACGCTTGCTTCGCTGTGCGTTGGTGTGATACGGGATGGAGTGTTGTAGGTGATCAGTGGAAATGGTGTTCTCATGGTGCTCTGGACCTAACACGAACTATATGCTTCTGTATGCCCTATCACACATCACGCTCATGATCTTCGCAATGGGATTGTCAATTGACTAACCTCATCTCTGCTGCCGTTGCATTGGAAGTCAAAGGGTGCTGAAAAATAAAATATTACATAATGGCAGTCCAACCATCAACATGGGATATCAACACCATAAAAGCGTATTAACAGTACACAACGAGCAATACTTGGCGATCTGGCGAATCACCTTGGCGATTCGTCAGACCTCAGCCATACAGCCATTCTCGCCATTCCGATGCTCGGTTGTGCATAGGCTATTAGACACATGATGCACCATCTGAACTCGCAATTACCTACCACAGATTAAATCAAGGTTAAGCATTTTATTCAAGGCCGGTTAACAATGCACGCTTAACCGCCTCAGTGCGTGACTAGTCATTTTTTCGTCATTCGTCATTTGCCTTCACGCGTGAGCCCCTGTATGCTAGTTTTTTTCCGTGTGAACCTGATGGCGTACCATTTGGGTCTATGGCTGAAAATCACCTTTACATATTCCGCGGTGCTTTTTCTACGTCTCATACAACTGGTGTCTCTTTGGCACGAGACATGCGTGCACTGGCATATGGTGTCTCTGCCTTCTCCCACCCAGTCTCTAAGCGCACGCTTCCTCAAAATTAACGGAACGCGCATTCGCTCCGTCTCTTTTCGCGCATCATGTTTAATGTCGACAGTATCATAATACTCTGGCATTTGACGCTGTGTTGCTACATACGGTCCGCTACTAAAAGCCTAACGGCTACTCTATCGCGCATCCTATTTCAAGAGAATTTGCAATAAGCACCACAAAACTGCTCTCTGCTGCCCTTGCCCTGAGCACACCTCCACTATAAAAGACGTCGTAAAACAGTGGAGCGAACTGTGCTTATGCACAACTTTTGCCATCTCATCTACGTTATACATTCCTGTACCATTGTTATACATCCCTCGGTCTTATTCGATATCGGGTTCACCGCAATCTTGCCTATGCTGCTACGGCGATCGACGGCCTTGGCCGATCAGCTGATCGTTCGCGCCATTTTCGTTCGCGCCAACGGCGAGTTGGCGCGTGCATTGGAGTTACGGTGTTGTATTGCCCTGGTAGCTACCAATAGGGCCGGTGATAGGTTTAAAACACAGCTCTTTACGTTTCGGCCACCAGCATGGTCTGTCCATATCAAGCACTGCAATTTAGTTTTTATCGGTGCGATCATAACCGGAAACCATTCTTGCGTAATAGGGCAATTGAAATATTCCATCATTAGCAGGTCGTGCTCGGGGAGCACCACGACCTACAGGGGTACATGATCAGAGCAATAACAACATTCTAGCCCCGGCCGATTTTTGACGGGGAGCGCCACGACTTGCGAAACACAAAACGACAACTTGAATTTGGGCCGGTGCAATACCTAACCTCATGCGAACCTGCAACCGTGCGTGTTTGCGGCTTTATGCGTATACCATGAAACGGTGTTTCACTGTACGTCACGGTGAGTCCCTGGCCGACACAGTAGGCCGCTAGTTGACTTACGGGGCCCCATTCAATGTAAATCGCAGGCCACAGTCATGTCCCTGTTTTTAAATGGATCCCACAGCCCAAATCACGCTAGTGGCATTATGTTCAGGAATCGTTTGGAGCACCTTGCAGTAGTTTCCAAATGCGGCAAAGCTATGTCATGCAGTACAAATGGAGATTTCAAAGCAGGCCTGCCGCAAAGTAAGTTGAAGTGTTTGCTTGCAAAAGTGGTAAAAGGTCTGCCGCTGGCACCCGTAGCATACACGGAGGAACGTTTCGGAAAGAGAGGATGATCCTAGTCATATTGTTGGCGATTCTTCCCATCCAATTCCATAACTTCATGCCCTACATTCTCAGAAAGTGGGGATGCCGATAAACACGCTGCATGGGAGGCATATGCCTATAGCTGCAAAATAACATTTGTTCACGCTCGCAGGGGACTAGGTCCTGCGTCGGCCTTAATGTACGCTGTATGTGCTTTGTAGGCCGTGGTGGTGTGCATATCTGATCAGATCATGCTGGCGGCCGAAACGTAAAGAGTCTGCTTATGCCTATGAAAGACTCTGTTGGTAATTCGGGACTGGGTTACTCGAATCACATCTTGTTCGGAAATTATAAAGTCATTTTCTCCACCATATGACGAAAATTATATGCAAATTCTTAAAATGGTGTTGTTGGTAGTGGCAAAGATTTAAATTGTATCGCCACGTTTGAAATGCGTGGATAAGGCCGGCGGCCGAAAGGTAAAATCTAAGATTATACCCATCAGTGGCCATATTAACTCGAAGTCGATTCACCGAAAAGGCATTTTGTTCAGGAATGATTTCAAACACCCTGCAGGCCGTTTTCAGACGGCCGGAAGGTAAATCAAAGATTTGGGCCGCAAATGTAATACAAGGTCTGGCGTTGGCACCCGAAACATAGACGGAGGAAGATCTCAGAAGGTGAGGGTGCCCATAGTCATATTGTAGTCGATCCTTCCCATCCATTGCCATAACGCTATTGCTCTACACACATTCTCAGAAACTGTCTAATGGTGGGGGTGCCATAACACTCACGGATATTTCATGTTTCAAGTCTAGGAGAGGCCATTGCCATCTAAATCGTGTCAAAATGGTGTCCACCAGTGGTTGCACCGATGGACACTATTTTGGAATGTTTGTTGGAGACGCATAATGCCGGTAGCCGAAAACGTTGAGTCAGTTCATGCTTTTCTCCGGCCCCATTGGCAACTCAGCGTGGACATGTAGGAATGCGGTTCGTTCATCGATCACCTGGACTTTCTTGCGGTAGTTTCTTGAGGAGTCCTGCTGGGAAGGTGGTTTTCCACCATTATCAGGTCCCCTAGTGATACGAAACGCAGACCATAACTCGTGTCACGTGACGTCATGAGCAGCAGGTAAAACGCGGCTTACTGCTTTACTTCATTTTTTCAAGTGGCATCACCATACGAATGCAAACCACGAGTACGTAGGCAGATGCACGTACACTGTAACAGTCTCCCCGAACGTCGTGAGCAGCGGGAAAACACAGCCGAAAAACGTGCCCCACTGAAAGTTTTCAACTGATGACTGATTCATTCTTCCCAGCGACGTCATCAGTAGGATACAGGACCAGTGGCATTACGAATACCTGCTTGGTTTTCAATGTTGTCATCATGAGTAGCTTGTGGATCCTTGTGATGTCGTGAGGAGTAAAACAGTCTTATCTTCACATGTCTACCAGTGACGTCATGAGAAGCATAAAACTTGTCATTTGAAACTTGTCATTTACCCGGCCTGGTAGGGACGTTTCGTCAGCTGATTAGCCGGTCCTCATTACATACTTGAGCCGACGCTCTTCCCGCCGCTAAACATTGTCGGCATAAAGGTAAATAACTATCTCTGCTGATTCTGAGCTTCTTTTACTAATATTTGATGTACTCTTTTTGCCTGCTAGTGTCTGTTATTGAATAACACCGAGGTCTCATTTGAGATCAGCCTTGTGCTTTGCATGTGTCTGTTAAAACTTACTGCATAATATCATTAATAATAGCCATAATGTACATTTTTTGTTCCAGCTTTCAATGAGACAAAAGGTTTTCACTTTTGTTGCTGCTCACTGAGCCACAAATATCTCAATTTTTGCTGTGCTGTCGTAGAAGCAGGATAAGCTTGCAGCACTGGTGCAGAGAGTAGTAATCTTGCTTAATAACATATGCCCAGGCATGCAAAATGTGTACCTATAGATGCACAGAGCTAGAGCTCATGTGTTCTCCAAGACATGATGTCTGATACCAAATATAAGTCATCCAACAGCAAAAATAATGTGTTCAACATCATGAGATGTTAAATGTTCCTGATGCAGTAGAGGCAAAAAATGTGACTGATATCAATATAAATATGACAGTTAGGCATTAGTTGCAGGACACCAGGTAATTGTGTTTTGTCAGTCATCTCCCTTGTTTTATGCATTGTGCACATACAGTTATAAGTTGCACAGAGCTGAAAAAGCATGCATGAAGAGGTCTGTTAGCTGTACCAGGTAACCCATTGGTGCTGGAAATGCATGTTGGAAAAAAAGGTTGGAGTACTCGTTGCTCTGCCAGCAAATCTATAGGGATGTCAAAATGCCATATCCATGGACATCAGGTATTAATCTGCCATTGACCGTCATGAATGTCGGTGTCCAGTGAGGCCTGTACTATAGTATCTCTTGGCATATCCTGTGCATTATCATACAGGATTTGTATGACCTCGTTTTTCACTCACATAAAAACACATATTACATTGAACAGGGCAGGCATATTTTATTTTTTTAAATCAGCATTCCAATAGCTGTGTCCTGCCACACCCATTTTATTCATAACAAATTGAAAATGAAGTTGACTCTGGACATGCTTTCAGCCATGTCACCACAGTGAGGGCCAGCCAGCATGGCTGAGAGCACTCTGAACTTCAACGTGGGTGTGCTGGGCCACATAGACAGTGGCAAGACGTCACTGGCACGCGCACTCAGCTCGGTGGCGAGCACGGCCAGCTTCGACAAGAACCCGCAGTCACAGGAGCGCGGCATCACCATCGACCTGGGCTTCAGCAGCTTCAGCGTGCCGACGCCGGAGCGGCTGTCAGCGCCCGGCAGCGCGCTGCGCACCGTCCAGTTCACGCTTGTCGACTGCCCCGGCCATGCCTCCCTGATCCGGACCATCATCGGAGGTGGGTCGGGCACTCTGGCCGGCCGAGGCGGACAGAGGTGCCGGCCGGCGCGTGTTGCAGACCGTGTGTCTGGTCCAGCGGCGCCGCGGTGTTGTGGTGGCCGATGCGCCGGTGAGGCACCCGTGGCCACTTGCCGTGATGCAAGGCGTGGCTGAGTCGGTTAAGTGGTATGCCGATACTGTCGGCATCGTTTAGAACTGCTAGAGTTCGTTCAGCGGCTGGCGGCTGTTACTGTGCTGTCATAAACAAACTGTGAGCCTTTAATTTAGACAAGAGGACATGGCAGGGCTAACAGGGTCGAGTTTCGACCAGTGCGTTCATCGACTCTCATCGGCCAATTGGCTTCAGGCGTACCAGACATTATCAGAATGATGCCTCTGGCCTGTGGAGACGGTCGAGAAGGCTCGGAATGAAACGCTTCACAATGTGTAGCCGGCAGTCAAACGCCTGCCCGTCCAGTCGACGTGACGTTTATTTTAGACCCGGGCTGAACGTTGACACAAAGACATGGCGACTCAGCGTCTAGCTAGTCAATAAAGACATACGGTTTGGTAGTGACGTCCGCTGACGAGCTACAGTTCCCTGATAACGGCTCGCCGATGGCGCGTGCTCACGGGGCCGTGATAACGGGGCCGCGTGGCGCGTGGTCACGGGGTGACAGTTTGCAGGAGACCGACCATTCTTCTGGCGTGCTCCGGCGACGTCGCCCCGCTGATGGTGAGGTGTTTCACTGACGCACGATGTTTTGCTGGCGACCGTGATCGGACGGTGACGGCATCCGGTTACTGCGCCGCACCGACTACCACCGTCGGATAAAGTGATTGTAGTGCACGGGCCGGCCATCGCGCGGCTGGAAGACGGCATCCGATTACCGCGCCGCACCGGCTACCACCTTCGGATAAAATAGTTGCAGTGCACGGGCCGGCCGTCGCGCGGCCGGAAGACGGCGTCAGGTTACCGCGCCGCGCCGGCTACCACCGTCGGATAAAGTGGTTGTAGTACACGGGCCGGCCGTCACGCGGCCGGAAGACGGGCGGCGGCGGCGGCGGCGGCGGCAACGGCAAACTGTACGCCCCCACGCGGCTGGCGTCGTCGAAAAATGTGCCCGGCCCGGAACTGAACGCGGCGAACTGCGGCGCGGCGGCAGCCGGCGCGGCCAGCAACGCCCAGCAGACGGCCACCAGCAGAGTCGGACCGGACCGCATGGCGGCGGCGGCGTTGAGGCAGGCGGACTGGCGGCGCCGTCAGGGCGCGGCCGCTGCTGGCGCGGCGCGTGACAGGCTGTCCGTCACCCTGTTGTTGTGCCGTTGCCGCCGGGGGACGGGCTGTGACCTTGCGTGTCAACTGCGTGAAGGGAACGGTCCGCTTTTGACGGGCGAAATTTGTTCTGTTTGGTGCTGTTGTTGCTGCCTCAGTTATGATAGCCCCGTGATCTTTGAGTGTTTTTTATTCCGCGTGGAGGGTACGTAATGCGTTCTGTGGTGTTGTGGTCTGGCTGAATATAGCAAATTTTCGTTTAAATGCCAGATATTGTACTCCTCCCGCAGGAGCCCAGATAATCGATCTGATGCTGCTGGTGGTGGACGTGACGAAGGGCATGCAGACGCAGACGGCCGAGTGTCTGGTAATCGGTGGCATCCTCTGCCGCCGCCTGGTGGTGGTGCTCAACAAGACGGACCTGGTGCCTGAGCCCAAGCGCGCCGCTCACGTGGAGAAGATGAGCCGCCGGCTGCGCGCCACGCTCCAGACCACCAGGTTCCGTGACGCGCCAGTGGTGGCGCTGGCGGCGCGGCCCGGCGGCGCAGAGGGCACCGGCGACGCCTCCGGTACGTGGCGGAGGGATGCCGGCCGGGCCGTGCAGGTTGTGGATAACGACGGTTATGCTTTGTGGACTAGCCCCAGCTAGTTTGGTTTTGGGGCTAATTTCTAGCAAGCTCTTGCTGTCATTCTAGCTAGTTTCACTGGAAATAACTCGTGATTTGGTTTTTGGTGACATGGAGTGGTGCCAGATGGCACTGTACCAGGGTAGATCATCCTCTACAGAGCCAGTGCCAGTTAACACTACTGACTCTTTGGAAGGTGCCACATGTTTAGGATATAATATTGCATGTGATATCATACACGATATGGCGTAAGTGCAATGACAACATCTGACTGTACATATTCCACACAACTTGATTAAGTTGCAACTATAGTAGAAGCGTTGGATAGGGGACTTTCTAAAGGGAAGTAGTGATTGATTAACTCCGCAACTAAAATTGGCGTCATTGCACGCATCCTGCCTTGGTTAGAGAAGGAAACCGTGTCCATCGTCCAGAACGCTACCGAAGTGTTGTATGCGTCGTCGTAACGTGGCACTCTTGAGCTCGTTTTCTGTGGTTTTTGCATTGATACAGGACATCTGTTAATCCTATGGGCTGGAAAGGCTTTTTGATGTGATTATTTTAGCTAAACATGGGATATTTTATATAAGATTGTGCCGCACAATTTCCTGCAAGGTTCACAAAACAGCGGATTTTCCGGATGTTTTTGTCTGCTGGGTATTGCCTCAGGATTGCTTATCGCCTATTGGCCTGGTCGGCACATGGACGGCTTGTTCCAGCTCTTCTTGATCTTTGTTCAGCCCACTCCCATTAGCCATTTCCAGTGGCCGGGCTGCTGGGGTGACCGACTCCCGTCAGCTTTGATCATGTACGATGAATCGTACGACACGAACCATGAACGAATCCTGAACGCCCCTCTAGTCTTAGTGATAATGGGTCCAGTCGTGCTACAAAATCGTGGCTTTGCGCGCGCATACAACCACAATGTCGGCGCATTTTGCGGACATTTCGCTACTTTTCGGTTGCGGGATGCCGCGTCTTCGACGTCAGGAGCTGTCCTTTCCCGCAGCCCTGCGTTTGGAACGAGAACCAGCCAGTCCGTGGTCTTGTTGGGGTCGCCAACCTCCTGCTAACCGATTCCAAGCCTACCGTAGACCCTGGCCCGTGCCCTTGAGTCACGTCCTTCACGCAGGCCGGACGCGGGCCGGCCACCTCCACCATCTCCCTGGGCGCCGCCAAATCCGGGCCTTCGGCGCCACTCATCAAACTGTTGAGTCCGCTGAAGCTGCTGGCCGATCACGCGGGCACCGGCGCCTCTGCAGCCATTCAGTTATCGGGCGCCGACTTGTGTCGGGAACGGTGATTGGCCCATTACCGTTTGGCACTTGGACATCACTAATGCATCGCTAAGTGCGCCGGAGCGCGCCTCCTGGCTCCGTATCGACCGTGCTCCGAAGTGGCGGCGGGCGGAGGCCGCGGGGCTCGCCGCTTCACAGGCGTCGAGTCCGGCCGCTGCACTCGCTCGCTGCCCTCGCCGCCGGGCCAGACCCTCGGCGGCTGCGGTCCTGTACTCGTGGGGTGGTTGAGTCACGCGCTGTTGGCTGGGGAGCCGCCGGCCGCGGGCGGGCGCCGGGCTCTTACAGTGGTGTACTGATCCCCATTATGCGCAGAAGTGTACCGTTCCCGACTTCTGAGAAGCCATGGGCTAACCTCGACTCCTGCGTTATGCACTCAGCTTATGTAGTCATATATTGCTTCCCGGCACCTGCGGGCACGGACTGCTGCCCAGTTCCTGCAGCCGCAGAAGCTGGATCATTCGGTGCTGCAAAACCTGAGTCGCTAAGTGCTGCACTTCGGACGAGCTGTTTTAGTTGTACACCTTCGGCCAAGCCGTGTAACCGCTCACAACAGCCCGGCTCCTGCAGTCATAGATTGCTTCCCGGCCTACGCAGCGTTGCGGAGCTTGACGGTTCCCAGGGGCATGACAGCGAAGTGAAACGTTGATTTTTCGGGAGGGATCACATCCAGCAGGGGCTTACCTTATCAGTGCTGACCAGGCACCTTGCGCGGCCGGTGACTGGTGTCGCCCTATTGTCAGGCGTGTCAGAGCTGGTGGAGGAGCTGCTGCGCCAGGTGTACGTGCCTCAGCGGTCCGTCAGCGAGCCGCTCGTGTTCTCCGTCGATCACTGCTTCAGTATCCGCGGCCAGGGCACCGTCATGACCGGCACCGTGCTGCAGGGCTCGCTGGCTGTCAACCAGGTACGGCTCCCCGCCACGCACGGGCCGCCGACCGCGCGCACCTCGGCCCCCTCGCCGCGGGCCGCTGGACACCAGGCCTAGCCGCGGCAGAACGGCGGCAGCCGCGGCGCGATGGTGTACGCCGTCGCCGTAGCGGCGTCGCCGAAGGCGCAGGACGACATGTGCTCGCTGATGTGGCAGCGCAGCTGGAGAGAAAGTTGTATTGTGCCCAACGGCAAGAAAATGCCGTCTAAATGCCGATCATGCGAAAATTGTGTGCATGGAGAGCGTCAAAGTCTGTCCCGGGTTTGTATGTGGGTCCTACTTCCGCTTGGTCTTTCCCGGTCCTTGTTTTCATCTCTTTTATTTCAGCCACAGGCGTCTAGCGTATGCAACATTCCTTTAATCCTTTGTTTCATGATGGTAGCATAATCTAGCCGCAACATACAGCACACAGGTAGATAACAAACCTAATACTCAAGAAGCAGACTCAAGCATATCCGCAATATATCAGCGATGCCTGATATGGCAGGAGCATTTCGTTTTTGAGCTTGCGAGAGCTGGAGGTGCAATCACCCCCAGCAGTTACAGGCGAATATCGAGCGCCAGTCGCCATTTCCGACAGGGCTACCAGTAATGGCTCCCAGAACCTCGCGTTTTAATGAGCTGGATGGATGCAAATTAGTATTGTGGATAAGCTTATTTAAGATCCCGGCCAGCCGCTGGTATGGTATGCAAATTGATTTTTCTTAGTCGGTGAAAATTGGTTTGTTACTTCAAATCCAATTCGATCACCAAACACCCACATCATTTTAGACGAGCTAAGCTGATGGTGCACGCGCATAAGGCTTGCTGTCTATTCAAAAAACTTTCGGACGGCAAGCATTTTCTCTTTGACACCTTGATCTGTACTTGGCACTTCGCCGGCACGGCGGCGCAGGTGACCCGCACCCCGTGACGGCTGTCTGTTATTGCCGGCTGGGCAGTGATCCGCTTACGGTCCGCCGCCGGTCCCGCGGTGTCTCGGGGCTGAGTGGCTGGACGGCGATCCCCCGACGGTCCGCCGCCGGGCCCGCGGTGTCTCGGGGCTGAGTGGCGGGACGGCGATCCCCCGACGGTCCGCCGCCGGGCCCGCGGTGTCTCGGGGCCGGGTGACTGGACGGCGACCCCCCCCCCCCCCCGACGGTCCGACGCCGGGCCCGCGGTGTCTCGGGGCTGAGTGGCTGGACGGCGATCCCCCGACGGTCCGATCCCCCGACGGTCCGCCGCCGGGCCCGCGGTGTCTCGGGGCTGAGTGGCTGGACGGCGATCCCCCCTGACGGTCCGCCGCCGGTCCCGCGGTGTCTCGGGCCCGGGTGACTGGACGGCGACCCCCCCCCCCCGACGGTCCGCCGCCGGGCCCGCGGTGTCTCGGGGCTGAGTGGCTGGACGGCGATCCCCCCCGACGGTCCGTCGCCGGGCCCGCGGTGTCTCGGGGCTGAGTGGCTGGACGGCGATCCCCCGACGGTCCGCCGCCGGGCCCGCGGTGTCTCGGGGCTGAGTGGCGGGACGGCGATCCCCCCTGACGGCCCGCCGCCGGACCCGCGGTGTCTCGGGCCGGGTGACTGGACGGCGACCCCCCCCCCCCCCCGACGGTCCGCCGCCGGTCCCGCGGTGTCTCGGGGCTGAGTGGCTGGACGGCGATCCCCCGACGGTCCGCCGCCGGTCCCGCGGTGTCTCGGGCCCGGGTGGCTGGACGGCGATCCCCGACCTGTAACTCACACTGCCCCCATGTGCCTGGCCCTGGCAGACGGTCGAGATCCCGGCGCTGAAGGTCACCAAGAAGGTCAAATCGCTACAAATGTTCCGCCGTCCCGTGGAGCGCGCCATCCAGGGCGACAGAGTCGGCGTGTGCGTCACACAGTTCGACCCCAAAACACTGGAGCGCGGTCTGGTGGCAGCGGTGGGGTATCTGCCCACCATCACGGCCTGCATCATACAGCTGCACAGGTATGCCGTCGTCGGTTATGTGCTATACCGAGCTGTATCATCCAGCTGGCGTCAGGATGTGCTTGTTCACAACCGTGGCGAGTGTAATACACCCACACGCGTAATCGGTTACATTGCCTCCGTGTTAGTCCAGCGCATTTGCATCCCGGACTCGCTTGTACGCCATGTTGTGCTATCCGTCATTAGTTGGATAACTATGCGACTCCTTCCTTAGCTGTGAATAACGGCGACCGTCCAGCCTGTGATGAGGTGCGATGCAGATGCCTGCCTCAAGGGACCGGTGTCGAAACTCGGCCTCTAATAATGGCACCCGCTGACTTGGTACGGCCCGTTTGATGCGTTGGTCTCAGAACGAATTCCCCGGGCCAGTGGCTTTGGTGATCTTCGTCGGTCTCTGTGTGATGTGCGGGAGGCAATCTTGGACAGGGTCTGTCAAGTTTGGTGGGCTCCGCAAGCATGGACATCGGGTGCTGTGCCTTAAAGGGAATATTCTACATTTGAAGATATTGAAAGAAGCATCAGCTGGATGAAATAGCTCATGTATAACTACATGTATACTTCTAAGTGGAGAAGACTGCTCTTGATAACACAATTTCTCTGGTCAGTAATTATGCTCCCCGATGCGTTAATCTTTGATTACGGCGCCGTACCTTGCGAGACAGTGATTAGAGCTAATTCGCGGCCATGATATCTTGAAGTCGTGCGCACGAGCGCCAAAGATGAACGACTTGACAATCATATTTTTCTGGACGTCGATCGCCGTACGGCTAATGAAATGGCAGAATTTGAGTTACGGTACTGTCGCATAATGTATGCCTGGGTGACCTTGAAAGAGTACTCCGAAATAGTCCACATCTTCTCGGGCACATGGCTCAGAATCTAGAGGGGGCTAAGTCTAAAGAAGGGCAGGGCTGCGGACTTTGCCGAATGATCTTCAAGATGGCTCTTCCATTTCGAAACCCCATACAAATGTGGAACGTTTCTTGTAAATATTTTGGGCCGCTTTTGTCACCAGTTGGTCTCGCGCTGCAGGGCGTTTGCATCAGGATCCAGCATTCCGTCTTGGGAAGAGGCATCGTGTTACATGCCACGGCACTCTCCGGTATGAATGGGTTCTCTCCGACACGACATTGGACTGCGACCGATATCATCGTTCCATAAAGCATGCTATTTCATAAAGCAAAGCGTTCCTAAAGCTATTCGGATTTTCAGTCATTCAAACGATCATTTGGGACCCAGTCCGCTCAAAGAAACTCACGGGCATTTCGCGGCTGCATGAAAATAGTTTCCAGGATTGATCGCAGGGCGTCCTGATGCCGAGTACCAGGAGCGGCGGCCGTCGCCGGGCGCAGCGAGTGACTGTGGCGTCGGGGGACGGGTCATGCCGTGACGCGGTGCCGCTGTGCCGGAGCCGGCCCGGCGCCGCACGAGCCGGCTGGTGACACAGTGGCCGGCCTGGGGCATTGACGTGAACTGTCGCCCGGGGCCGGCTCACGACCAGCCCCGACCCCTCTGGTTACCACCAGCCGAGATGGTGTTTGCTCCTGCCCCGGGCCGGCTGGTGACACAGCGGCCCGCCCGGGGCGTTGACGTGAACTGTCGCCCGGGGCCGACTCACGACCGGCCCCGACCCTTCTGGTTACCACCAGCCGAGATGGTGTTTGCTCCTGCCGCCGGCTGGTCGTGATGGCGCCGGCGATATAATGGTAATGTGCAATTTGTATGCCGTCTTGGGACGGCCGTGAGAGCGTATCCGTCCTCTGTTTGTCCGTAAACAAACGAGACCTTTGAAAGCGCCTGCGGGACGCCAGCGAGATCGCGCACCCATCTGGGAGCGTGATGCACCGCCGCCGGGCGTCTGGCCGCGCAAGCTTGAGCGTATTCATTGGGCTGCTTTTATGTTCACGCGTCAGCCAGAAGAAGCGTGCAACGATGTGAAATCCTTTTTCACAGGGCAGACAACCACGGTTTGTTGTGTCCCGCTGGTGCTTTTTTATTATTGAAGGCAGCTATCTCTGACATTGATCTTTGTCGTTGTTTCACGAGGGTTTATTGGTCCGGCTCTTTCCCTCCCGACATAGGCACCTCGGACAGTGTGTGGCTTGCGGAGAACGTCGTAAAACCCTGTGATGGCAGTGGCTCGGAGCGACATTCTGGCAAACGTGTGGCTTAGTTTGGCAGCGGACATACCGTGCGCTGTAAGCACTCGGGCCACGTAGCTGCCCTGTCTCGGCGTCTCGGCTGTGGTTGACCTGCTGTTGGGCCCGCACGGGCGGCGGAACGCACGCTCCGATCATGCCGGTGCTGTCTCAGCGGCACCCGCGATGCCGCCGTCTTCGGTCTTGAACAGTGTCCGTGCTGACTCCCGCCCTGCCCATCGGACTCGACCACCGTCGGGAATCGTAGAGTCGGAGCTGGGTCGTCCGGGCCAGATGACCTGACCTCGGGACCTGACCAGTGCGCACCTAATGGACATGACGTCGGGAGAGTGGCGTCGGTGCGGTCGCGGCCCGTGGTCCGCATGCCCGGCACGACACATGCGGCGCGTCGCCACTCGGAGTCCCCCTCCCCACCTGTGGCACCCACGTCAAATCACCGTCCACCGACGTCACGTTTGCTCGCGCGCCGTACGTGCATGCCGCGCGTGGGCTGCGACACGGCCTCAGGGGGCGCCGCCGCCCAGGCGGCCAGATTGGTTTAGCGTCGGCGGATGCCAGCGTCTGACCGCGTCCGTCCCCCGGCGCCGGCACTGATAAATCTGATACCGAAGCCGCGGCCCAGTCGCGGCCGCGTAGGCGACTGCCGGTCCGCCGCACGTTATCGGCGTGGCGAGCAACGTTCACACGTCTCTCGTTATGGCGCCAAATGACCACCGCAGTCGGAGCGCCCGTCAACTCCAATCAACAACAACAAAAACGTTCGCAAGGAACGAGCCGGCTGACTGGCGACCACTGCAGTCGGACGTAACGGCTGCGGAGGTGGTGCACGTGACGTGATAGCGCGACGTGGATGCGCTGGGCGTCGTAAGCCCAGCGCGTGATGTTGATTGTCTGAGGCGTTTACACCACCGCGCTGTTGTAACTAGACTCCTCTCCCTCCACACCGCCGTGCGCAGAGTCTTAGCGTCGCCGGCCGCCATCACGGCGTGCCAGCTCCCCGCCGTGACGTCGTCACTGTCCGCCGTGACGTCACTGCTGACCGCCATGGCGTCGGCACTGCCCGCCGTGACGTCACCGTCCCCTGTCGGCAGAATCGACTACTTCCGCGGCGAGATTCGCAGCAAGAGCCGCTTCCACGTGACGCTGGGCCACGACACGGCCATGGCGCGGATGACGCTGTTCGCCCGGCCCGGGCCGGCACCGGCCGCTCCAGCCGCCGCGCCCGGCGCGGACGAGGCGCCGGGCGACGCGCAGCAGGCGGACGAGTTCGACGCGGGCGCCGAGTACGCGTACCTGGAGTCGCTGGAGGAGGCGGTGGCCGGCGGGGCGCTGGCGCTGCTGGAGCTGGAGCGGCCGGTCACGGTGCCGCCGCGTGCCGTGCTCATCGGCTCGAAGCTCGACATGGACGTGAACTCGGCGGCCTGCCGGCTGGCCTTCCACGGCCGCGTGCTGGCGCCGTTGGCGCGCGACTACACGGCTACCCTGCTGCCGGGCCTGCGCGTCTATAAGGACAAGAGCAAGGCGGGCACGGTGGAGCGGCTGCAGAGCGAGACCGAGCTCATTGTGCGCGACCTGCTCAAGAAGGAGAGTAACGTGGCGCTGTTCAGTGGGCTGGCCGTGCAGCTGTCGACCGGCGAGCGCGGCGTGATCGAGGGCGGCTTCGGCCAGAGTGGCAAGGTCAAGGTCAGATTGACAGGTGAGGCGCTGGCCCCGGCCGGCCGGGGAACGGTGCGCGTGCCCCGGTGTGCGAGCGTTTTCTGTCGTCCGGGTGTGAGGTGCGCGCTGTCCCGATCGAGTGATAGCGTCATCCACACTGGAGTTTCTTCTTTTTTATGTCTTTCTTTTTTAGATGGGAGGCCGAATCGATGACATGCCTCCGTACTGGGGCGTTCCATCGGACCGCCGTCGCGCGCCGTTCTTTCGAGCTGTGCACCTCGGGCTCCGCTGGCCGCGCGCCTCGTGTGTCGAGCTCCAGTCTCACCGAGTGGTGCGTTCCGTCGCGCGCTCCGGACTGTCTGCTCCTGAGTCTTGCACGCCCGCAGACCTGCCCCCGAGGCGTGCGCTCCGTGATGTCGTACCTGTCGGTGACGTTCCCCACACCTGTCGGTGGGCGGGGGTCATGACACGAGGCCGCACCCGTGCCGGCGGCCTTGCGACCCCACGCGCGGACTGTCCGTGCCTGCGTGACCGCGACCCACGGCACCGCCAGCGACTACGTCACCCCACGCCTTGACGTTGACCGTAGCCCGGCGGCCGTGGCAGTGGCCGTGACCCCGTGACCCCTGTCCGCCGACAGATGCCCTGTCAGAGGAGACCCGGGCCAGACTAAGCGCCGCCGGGCGCCGAAAGGCCAAGTCGGCCCCTCCGACAGCGCCGCCGCCGCCGCCGCCCAGCGACCCGGTCACCGTCGAGCTGCGCTTCAAACGCTACGTGTTTGACCCCAAGAAGAGGATGGTACAGAGCTGACGGCGGGAGCGACGGTGGCGGCCGGGCTGAGGCCGCAGACCGGCGCTGTGCCAGGTCTCCGCCAGGAGACCAGGCACCGACTCTGTGGTGCCGGTCTCCTTCAGCGGTCTCCGGGCCGGGATAGCTGCTTCCCAGAGCGAACCCTGACATTTGCCGCCGGCCGTCTGGCTGAATATTAATGGTGGTGACGGCGCCCCCCCCCCCCCCCTCCCCTCCCACCTCCGCCGCGGTTCCGACTGTCGACCATGTGCGGTTGGCGTCGGTCGAGGCACCACTGGCCGCGGCAGGTCCCTCGTCCGCCGGCGCTGTGTTGGGCCCAATCGGGGCTGAGCAGGAGTGCGTGCAGGGATGTTACCTCATCCGGATGTGGTTTGTGGCGGCTGTTCCGTTCCGAGGTCTCCGGGCATGGCTGCTGGCCCCTAGCGAACACAACACCGAGGGCTGACGTATTCAGGGCACGTTTTGGAGAAGCGAGGAGTGCCTGTGATTACTGTCATGGTGCTTGCGACGTTTTGTCACCCGTTAACAAAATACACGTTTATCCATGTGCTGTTGAGGCTGATTCCTCCGACTCGCGCCGCGATCGGCGTGGTGTCTGCCCCCCGGCCGGGCAGAGCGGCACTCATCAGGTGTGTCCGATATCGGCCGCATCCGCCCGGCTATCTGGGCGTCATCACCTCCGATACGGGAGGCGGCGATAGACGGCAGCGGCGGCCGGCGGCCACTGCAGCCCCGGTCGACCTGCCGCTCGCCATGGTGCCGCTCCGTGCCACGGCGCTGCTGGCGCTCCTCGGCTGCCTGGTCGTCTGCGAGGCTGCGCCGGCCGGCGATGCCACGACGACGCCGACGACGCCGACCGACTCTTCCTCGATGCCGCCGGTGCCGCCGGTGCCGCCCATACCGGTGAGAGAGCTCAGCTCAGGACCAGGCTTAGCTCCCGAGCGGCGGCGCCCCGCGGGCGCGGCGTTGTCTCGGCGGGCGAGCAGGCGCTGTGTCCGCGCCGCTCGCGTGACGCCGGCCGCGGGGACGCCTGAGATCGGTGACCGGTCGGCCAGCCTCTCCGCGACGACTGCCTGCTGGGGGGCACGCCATGCTCAGAGCAAACAGCTCCGGGGGCCGCGAGACCGTGGTCGGCGACGGACCCGCGCGCCACGGGGCGGGCGTCCGGTCGGACAGTGCGCGGTGTCGGGACGGCCGTCGTGGTGCTGCCGGCCACCCTCAACGCTGGGGATGGAGCTGTGCGCGCTGGGGGCTGCAGGCGGGTCCGGAACTGTTACAGCCGCGCGATGGGAGGCGGGAGAAGCTTCGAGTGGTGTGCAGGGTACTGTAGTTGTGCTCCGTGCGCGGACAGCGCCAGTGTGCTGCCCGTCCCGTGAACACAGCCAGTGTGCTGCCCGTCCCGCGAACACAGCCAGTGTGCTGCCCCTCCTGCGAACACAGCCAGTGTGCTGCCCCTCCTGCGAACACAGCCAGTGTGCTGCCCCTCCCGCGGACACGGCTAGGGTGCTGCCCTTCCCGCGAACACAGCCAGTGTGCTGCCCGTCCCGCGAACACAGCCAGTGTGCTGCCCGTCCCGCGAACACAGCCAGTGTGCTGCCCCTCCTGCGAACACAGCCAGTGTGCTGCCCCTCCCGCGGACACGGCTAGGGTGCTGCCCTTCCCGCGAACACAGCCAGTGTGCTGCCCGTCCCGCGAACACAGCCAGTGTGCTGCCCGTCCCGCGAACACAGCCAGTGTGCTGCCCCTCCTGCGAACACAGCCAGTGTGCTGCCCCTCCCGCGGGCACGGCTAGGGTGCTGCCCTTCCCGCGAACACAGCCAGTGTGCTGCCCGTCCCGCGAACACAGCTGGTGTGCTGCCCCTCCTGCGAACACAGCCAGTGTGCTGCCCCTCCCGCGGACACGGCCAGTGTGCTGCCCGTCCCGCGAACACAGCCAGTGTGCTGCCCGTCCCGCGAACACAGCCAGTGTGCTGCCCGTCCCGCGAACACAGCTGGTGTGCTGCCCCTCCTGCGAACACAGTCAGTGTGCTGCCCCCCCCCCCCCCCGCGGACACGGCTGGTGTGCTGCCCCTCCTGCGGACAGAGCCAGTGTGCTGCCCCTCCCGCGGACAAAGCCAGTGTGCTGCCCCTCCTACGGACAACCAGTGTGCTGCCCCTTCCGCGAACACAGCTGGTGTGCTGCCCCTCATATGGACAGAGCCAGTGTGCTGCTCCTCCTATGGAGAAAGCTAGTGTGTTGCCCCTCCTACGGACAACCAGTGTGCTGCCCCTTCCGCGAACACAGCTAATGTGCTGCCCCTCCCGCGAACACGGTCGTTTTTCTGCCGTTGGGGTCTTTTGTGGCTGCATGCGTTTCCACCCACAGCAAAGTGCAGGTCAGGCCGCTGGATGGCGCTCCGTTGGATGCCGTTCTGTTCTGACGCTTCGCAAGGCAATCGTGGGCCCGCACGACAGCGATGCTGGAGAAAATAATCGCACACACGCCCGTCCGCTTCAGATCCCCTGCCTCATTCCGACGCTCACTATCGTGACTGTCAAGCGCGTCAGGTCCACCGCCTCATTCCGACGCTCACTATCGTGACTGTCAAGCGCGTCAGATCCCCCGCCTCATTCTGACGCTCACTATCGTGACTATCAAGCGCGTTAGATCCCCTGCCTCATTCCGACGCTCACTATCGTGACTGTCATGCGCTTCAAATCCCCCGCCTCATTCCGACGCTCACTATCGTGACTGTCAAGCGCTCCAGATCCCCCGCCTCATTCCGACGCTCACTATCGTGACTGTCAAGCGCTCCAGATCCCCCGCCTCATTCCGACGCTCACTATCGTGACTGTCAAGCGCAGCGTCGGACGAATGGCAGCGCCGTCACAGCAGGACATGCGCGTATTGTTCATGTGTCCAAGCAAATTGATGGGCTTTGCAATCCATCACGCTAGATAATGGCTGCGGGGACCGCCCTTAACTGGCCACTGCCTGCCGTGAACGGGAGAGTGGAGTGTCAGCAAAACCAATGATCTGACCCTGGTTCCCTGCAGCTGTAGGAGAGCATCGATGCCCCTCGTCTAAATCTCAACAGGGGGACGCCTCCCCTTCATCGCCGGCCTCACAGTTAAGCGATGGTCCGGGCACAAGGAAACTTGTCCCGTGCTGGAAGCGGTGAGAATTCAAGGGCGCTTTGAGCTCATGCCCGTGCGCTAGCACGTGCACGTGCCCTTCCACGCGCTGCTTGCCCTGCCGCCTACATCCCCCATGGTTCACATGCTGAGGACGTCGCCATCCTCGCATTTCCCGACGAGACATCGGAAAGCTGCCACTTCAGGCACAGCACACACTAAAACTGAGTGTCAAGCTGTGGGCAACGCACAACTCAACTAATTTAAGCAAGATAAGTTTAAGACTCGCGGTTCAAGCAGTGTCGTTAGACCCCGTCTTTGCTTGCATATTTTGGCTCCTGAGACGGTTGGTAACTGCGTGGGACTGCGCTAGTTCCTAATCTCTCGCTGTCGCGCTGCTCACCATCAGGCTCGGATGGTGTGACGTAATTTGCCGCTGTCCCAGTGGATTGGGTAGCACATTTAGCCAGCGACTAGCTGCCGGATTCATGGGACTCCTACCGGATAATGCATTCGTGTGGTCGCTGATGCTTGGGAGACTTAATGCCTCATCCGTTATTCATATGCCGGCAATCGACAACAGCGGCACCAGATACCGCTCGGAAGCTAAACAAGAACGATCGAAACCACTGACAGAGACGCTGCTATCGCCAATGCAATCGGAGAAAATGTGCCGAACCAACGTCACTACTTATCACGCGGCGCAGGCATGTGGGCAGGCTCAGAGTACTTGCCAGCGGGAAAGCCCGACGTGAGCTTCTGCGGGGCTGCTCGCAGCACACCTCTGTGCTTAACTGACCGGCGCCGAAACTCGCATACCGGCAGCTGAACCGACGTCACTCGGGATAACAGACACATAGATACATAGATCCTATACAGATACATAGATACGATTCGTAGATACATAGCTACTTAGCCTTGACTGCACATGATGACAGTGCATATCTTATTCCACATGAAACGTGTTACGAACGGAACGGAACGAGACCCTCATATACCTGTGAACTGTAATCCGTGCCACGCCGCACCCGCCTCCTGCGGTGTCTCGGACGATTGTGCGGCGACCTGGCCCGGCGTGCCGCGCCAGATCCCCGGACGGCGTCGCCCGGCGGCCGTGAGCGACGTTTTCCCATTTGAAGCTGGTCTCGGGTCAGGAGACCGTACTGGCGTCAGCGCCTGAAGCCACGGCCGCACGCCGCGCCGGCGATTTGTCTCCGCTCGCGTGCCAGGTACCGGCTCTAATCGAGGCTCGCCGCGTATCGGACCCGGTGACGTCACTGGGCGGAGGAGCGCTTCGCCAACCCTCGCCGAACGCAGGCGGATCTAGTGCAACTTTCACAGAACAACGCGCTGCATACTAGGTGTTATGTCCAGTGTTGCCCCTATAATACGGGGTGGGTGCAGTCTCGCTAGCACAGGGACGGGTGCAGTCTTACCAGCACAGGGACGGTGCAGTTTTACCAGCGCAGGGGCGGGTGCAGTCTTACCAGCACAGGGACGGTGCAGTTTTACCAGCGCAGGGGCGGGTGCAGTCTTACCAGCATAGGGACGGGTGCAGTCTTACCAGCATAGGGGCGGGTGCAGTCTTACCAGCATAGGGACGGGTGCGGTCTTACCAGCATAGGGGCGGGTGCAGTCTTACCAGCAAAGGGACGGGTGCAATCTAACCAACACAGGGGCGGGTGCAGTCTTACCAGCATAGAGACGGGTGCAGTCTTACCGACACATGGGCGGGTGTAGTCTTACCAGCGCAGGGCGTGGCTCGGGTCACGAGGCCCACAGACTCACGACTCCAGACCAGGATGTTCTGATCCACGGCCACGGAGCCCACAATCTCCAGATCGGGGTGTCCTGGTCCGCGGCGCGGCCACGTAACCCCGCGACGTCCAGAGACGGCGCTAGTGACTCACCTCAACACCGGCATCCAGGGCTGAGGCAGAGCAAGACGACTGGCGAAACTAATTTGCATTGCTCGACTAGATTTAGTGTTGAAACTGAACCTTTGTGTTGGTGGAAGTCAAAGGCTTACAGCTTCGTACCAGAAAGTGCTGCCAAAAGACCTTTCTCGCAGCCCATTTTCCAGCCCACGGCTGCTCAACGCATCCCCTTCGCTCTTTTTTCTCGACATTCATCTAACCCACTACGCCACTGAATCTGCTACGTAGGAATGAGCTGGAGTATCACTGGGCGGAGCGTGAGCATCGCTCAGCCGGCTCTTAGGTTGCAGTGTGAGGCGCAACCCAAGCCGCGCAAGCTCCCCCACACGACCCGCGAGCACGTCCCGGGGCTGCCGCGAGCCGCTGTCCTGAACTAACCGAGGCCTCTTCCACAGACCAAACCGTCCAACATCACGGTCCAGAAGCAAATCTACATCCTCACCGGTGTGTTCGCCGTCTTCATATTCTGTCTGATGGTGATCAGCTTTGGCACGGCGTACGTCATGCTAGGGTGAGTGCCGGTCGGACCGCCACCGTCGCCCACTAACGGCGCCTGTCCTGGCGGGCTCTTGGCGTTCGGGTAATCCTCGCTCGCTGTCAGACAGCACGCCCTCAGGCTCAGCTGTCGCGCGCCGGAGACACTGCGGGACCCGACGTGTACCAGCTGCAGGAGTCACAGGTTTGCCGCCGCCGCGAGCCGGAGACACTGCGGGACCCGGCGTGTACCAGCTGCAGGAGTGACAGGTCTGCCGCCGCCGCGAGCCGGAGACACTGCGGGACCCGACGTGTACCAGCTGCAGGAGTCACAGGTTTGCCGCCGCCGCGAGCCGGGGACACTGCGGGACCCGGCGTGTACCAGCTGCAGGAGTCACAGGTTTGCCGCCGCCGCGTACCGGAGACACTGCGGGACCCGGCGTGTACCAGCTGCAGGAGTCGCAGGTTTGCGTGCTGGTGGTGCATGGTGCATGTTGGTGGTTCCACTGCACACGAGCCGCAATTCTGCAGCTCGTGTGCAGTGGAACATGCACCAGCATCACACATTGCGGCGAATGTGGCTCGTCGACATATGCACGTGATCACATGCAGGGGCGATCACGAGCATAGCAGCTCCTGTCGGCGCGTGCCCTCTTCCTTTTACCCAGTTTATGCACGCACTACCATGTGTGTGACTTTATGTTGACAGCTGAAAATTTCAGGTAGATGCGTGAGAATAAAAATATCGAAAATGCACCATGTTACTTTACGACACATAAAACATTTGCTGGGCTAGAAGTCAAAAGTTCGCCGCTTCGTGCCGGAGAACTATTAGCAAAACATATGTCCACGCAGGCTATGGCTGATTTTAGCATATTGTATGCCATTTAGCGTATAGCTCATAATATTCAGCATGTGACACCACAAGTCAGAGCATTTTCCGTGCCAGACAGTTCAATCCGTTCACAATGTATGCACCAGCCGCGCGTCGGGAGGGGAGGGGGGGGGGGGGGGGGCGATGTCGACGTTGTGCGTGCTGTGTCTCCGCCCGATCCTCTTTGTTCTCCGTCGACGTTGTGCGCGCTGTGTCTCCGCCCGATCCTCTTTGTTCTCCGTCGACGTTGTGCGTGCTGTGTCTCTGCCAGATCCTCTTTGTTCTCCGTCGACGTTGTGCGTGCTGTGTCTCTGCCCGATCCTCTTTGTTCTCCCTAACATGTGACTTATTGCCGCCGCGGCCTGGCCCACCGGGTCGCGACACCGCTGGCTGACACAGATCCCGTTCCTCAGCAAACGACGGCTGGTGCTGTCCGGGAGTGCGTCGGACCGACACGGCGCGGCCCCGGCGTGGCACGCACGCTCCACCAGGCGGCAGGCGCCCAACGGCGCACGCGACAACGCAGCCTTCGCTGACCACGACGACGACGACGATGACGACGACGACGACGACTATGGCGGCGGTGACGACCTGCAGCGGCGCTTCAGCCAGTACGGTGGCCAGCGACCCCAGTGAGTGGCGCGACCTGGGACGGACGCCGCCCGGTTCGGGGGTCCGGGGTGGGGGGGGGGGGGGGTAAGGCCTCGGGAGTTCGGACCGTGCAGGCTCCCCCTGCTATTCGTCGTTGCCTGGTGGTTATATTGACGCTTCCGTGCGCTTGAGCCTGACGTCGCAGAAGGCCATTAGTGGGCTTTGATTAGCAGGCGGGAATTGGAGGTGAGTGGTGAGTTATGTTCTTGCTAACACCCGCGAGAGGTCGGTATATAGTGCCGCTTGTGCCAGAGGTAGAGCTTCACAGCATATGCTGAGAGGCAAGGAGAGAGAGAACGGGAGAGAGAGAGAGAGAGAGAGAGAGAGAGAGAGAGAGAGAGAGAGAGAGAGAGAGAGAGAGAGAGAGAGAGAGAGAGGAGAGAGAGAGAGAGAGAGAGAGAGAGAGAGAGAGAGAGAGAGAGAGAGAGAGAGAGAGAGAGAGAGAGAGAGAGAGGAGAGAGAGAGAGAGAGAGAGAGAGAGAGAGAGAGAGAGAGAGAGAGAGAGAGAGAGAGAGAGAGAGAGACAGAGAGAGAGAGAGAGAGAGAGAGAGAAAGAGAGAGGGGGGGAAGGGAGAGAGAGGGAGACTGCCTAAAAAAATGCGACGGCTTTTCTCTATTTTTAACACTTGCAGCACGTTAAGGGACGGTGCCGCAAGTTTCCGACTTTAGGAACAGGAACGAGACTAACACTGATCGGGACCAATTGACTTCCACAGCGATATAGAGCTCTGCCCGTGCGTACGTGATACCCAATGACTGCTACTCTCCCGTTGAAAGACGGATATAGTTGTCCTCAAAAGCCGTCTATCATCACAAAACGTGATGAAGCCTCTGTGGCCAAAGCTCAATGTCAAGACATCAAGCTCGTCTGATGAACAGACCACCGTCGGATGGCTATGACTCTCACAAGACAGGAAACAGCCTAGTCATTCAGCACATGAACTATTTGCCACAAGCAATCCTTCAGAGCTGGCAGTCAACGCTGCCTTGCGGCTGTTACCATGTGCCGCGGGCACCACACACCGGGTCTCTAGGTCTCTTTCTAAAGGACCTCACCCCAATGGTCGGTCTAGCTTTACAACAATGTCTCGCACGGTCGGACGATCATCGCACTATGCCTGAAGGCCAGTACCACTGCACATCCCGATTACTCACGATCTAAGAGAACTTGGTTTGGCCTCTAAGTACTAAGTTCTAAGAACTAAGTTCGGCCTCTCAGGATAGCTTCAGCTCATTGATGACTTGGCAGCGTACTCGCCACCACCGGAACCGACCTTGGATGGCGCCACATTCGACTCTCGTGCCGCGCCGAAGTCCAGACCTCTCGGCCCGCCACAGCTTTCCCGCTGATGGGAGCAACGCGACCGCGCGAGCGGGCTGCGGCGACCAGGTGCCAATACCGGGCCGCGGCATTGTCGGTATCGGCAGGTCACGCGACCGACCTCGGCGGGCTGACGGACGCCGTGCATGGTCACCTCTAGCCGTGCTGGAATAGTGGCTAATGAATCACCGCGCGGGCGGGCCACGATGACGACGCGTCACTGGTGGCGGGCGTGCCGTGACCGTGGGTTACTGCGCAAGGTGGCAATAATGTGTGCGTGTGCACGCCCGTGTCCATGCTCAACTGAGCTCGTTGTTACCTGTGGTTGTGCGTGACTGTGCGTGACGGGGGCCGCGTGAGTATGGCATAGTGCGTGCGCGTGCGATCGTGCCTGCATGTGACTGTGTGCGAACTCGACCCTGCGGAGCCGGACCGTGACCGGCCGAGGGCACGTTTGTCCGACTTTTTTTCTCAGAATGGAATGATCGGGGATGAAAAAACCAAATGTCAATCAAGAAATGGTACATTGGAAGGTAAATTATAAACGGAGGGCCTTGATTGAACAACGCCACAGGTCACACAACATTTTTTGGAAATGGCAGGCCAAACTTGATGACTGTAAAATGTTCTATCTCCCGTAACAATTAACGTCAAGCTGTCACCATCGTCAAACGAAAAAGCGCCGTCTTCCCCGTCAGAACCGTGCCGTGTTGTCAACACACTGGGAAATCATGTAATGGGTCAATTATGCCAGGTTGTCACAAAGCCAAGTTAAGTCATCCGAATTCAATTTCCTGGCATCCCTGGTCATGACTACGCGACTTTTCATGAACGCATCAAAAGCCATTAATCTGGGAAATGTGTTCGTCGTATCCATAGGCATAGGAACGTTTCAAAG